TCTTTGCGCCAACAACGAAATTTACAAGAATTATCGGTACTTCTAAAAGTAAAATTTTTGTGACAACGTTATTCGTAATTGAAATTACCGCAGAACTTGTTGAGAAAATTAAAGCCGCGTCATTTCTGTGGCAATTGTTTTACGAAGCAGACGTTCCTTTCAAGTTTAGAAATATGGATATGAATATTATAAATGTGCTCGAAGAAATTTGTGTGAGAGTCAGCAGATTCCAGTATCTTATGTTGAACTTGTAAATGATATACTTGGAATGGGGATTATCTAGCGACGCCATACAAATTTTGTCTGAGTGTTCAATTAAATCCGTGGAGATATTAAAAATGATGCACACTCACGATATTGATGAAATTTTTAACAGCAGGACCGTCATCGCAGTCAAAAGATATCATTATAAGTAAGTATTGAAAAGCTTCATATTATCATGTCCTTAATAAATATTACATCGTATTATTTCCTAGATTCAAAGCACTTTTATTTGTTCAATCTACTTCACTCAATAATATTACCTCCGCGAATCAGTAAGATATCCAAGCCATCAATATCTGACGCTCAAAACGACATGATAGTATATTTATTAAATCTAAATAATATCAAACAAAAAGAAGAGGAAATGAAGGACTGTGCCATCCAAGAAAAGTTAACACTACAGCCCCAAAGTTTTTGTTATTGGTGATTCAGTCGAAAATCTGTCAGAGTTTTACGTCTATTTGGATGGCCTACATTACAAGGTACCAACCTTACTTCGCGCCCTGGACCTGGTAATAAAAATATGTTTCATATTTAATTTAGAATATCCAGAAAAGAGCAAATGTGTGTAGATTTTTTTACAAGAACTTATATTTGAAGTCTCTTCTGAAGAGAAAATTCCAAAATTACAAAATATTTTTTCTAAACTAAATAATGGTCAGTGAGAAGTACTTATTCCACCAGTGCTCTTATTTGCTCTATTTGTGTTAACTTTTTCACGCTGTAAAATAATTTAGTTTTTCATTAGAATGAGGAACATAAAACTCCAATAACTTATCAGTTTTTATTGCGATAATTATTTTCTAATTTCCAAATATGTATAAAATAGACTTACAATGTTTACTTTATTATATTGTATACATACATATATACTTAACACGTTTAAATAAAAAGTTCTTTCAAACCAAAACCAATCAATTGAGTTTACGTTAAAACGTAAGCCAGAAAGATTCCACCTTTTTTCCAACAATTTTCACTTTTTCCTAACAAATTAGTATTTGAATAAAAATACGTAAGTTCTTTCCGCCAAAAGTGTTCGTCGTTGGGGCCTCAAAGTCCAAGTTTTAATTCAACTGCTTCATATTTTTCTAGCAACGACCTCCACTGTTAACTCAAATTAAAATTATTTAAAACAACAATTTATACACTTAATCTAAAAATGTTTGTGTTAAGTACTAATTAAGTTAAAAAATCAACAGTCTTTGGCTCTTGCTTCAAATGCAAGTAGTTGTTGGGTACGATTTAACCAATAAAAGTTGTTCCAAATACATATAAAATTGTTAGATGTACAGTTTTTTTTTCTCGGCGAACCGTTAATGATTCTGATGAAAAAAAGAAAGATTTTATGTAGATGTGGGCAATTTAGTTTTTAACCTCCAAGAGGCTCTCAGACAAATATAATGGAAAAACTTATTTACAGTCTGAATTGGTATATGTTTGACATATTAGTCAGTGATGAACATCTCATCTATATATATTTACAAATACCTATACTTTTTTCTATAAATGAAAATTGAGGCTCCTTTTTCGGTCTATTTTCAAAAGCTACTGAAGAAATTTGGAGGAGACTTGGTAGAATTAGCATTAATCAATCTGGTATTAACGTTCATAATTCGATATTAATTTTTAATGTAAATTCGCTATTAATTATGCTGGTGGACTTCAAAATAGTAATTCGCATTAAGGTGTTAGTATTGGTGACAGGTAAAATTCAAAAGTGTATGAAAAAGGATGTCGAATTTCGACAACTGGGCGATACTAGTAGATTTAATCTGGCCACAACCACAGTCGTCGTGTAGGCCGGTCGTCGCCAAAATAATTATCTACATAAGAGTACGTGTTAAAATAATTTGCCAGCTGTGGTCCGTCGTTTTCATTATTTTCGGGCTATTACTTGATTTTTATTTTTTCGGTCAAATTTAATAACACGGTGCTACAAAAAAAACATGAAATGCACTCGAAACAAAATTTATTAGTGTAGGTTGTAGCTATGGTCGAGTGCAACATAAAAATAGGTTCTGTATAAAGCATTGTTCACTCAAAATCGGTACGCATAAAATGGGTTATATCTTTTTAAGAGGTTTTCAGAAAAAAATATTTAATATGTTAAAATAAAGAGAAAACATTCCGCTATATTTAGATAGATATTAGCGAAAGTTTCATATTTTGCTTGGATAAACCAATAACAGACAATTTCTTTGATAATGATAAATCTTTCTGAACATACGTTCTAGAGACTTGAGTAGTCAACTTGTTCTACTAAACTATCTTTAGTTTATGTTTTTTCATAGTTCGCGCATCTCTACTAAGTTTGTTTTAAATAAATGCCGTGTATTTTTTGATTTGACGTAAATAGGACATATTCGTAAATTGATGAGTTCCAGAACTTTATTCATATCTTTGGCTTCAAACCGATTTAAAGTTACCTGTGAATAATTAATTTTCATTAAAACCAACCAAAACTTTACTGAAGGTCTAAAGTAGATGATACATTGGCTTAACACTTTGTGCAAGGGCTCCTTCCAGCATATTTCTGGGATCATACTTGTGGAGTCTGATCGAGTTTTAATGAGACTGCTTCGATTCTCTCGTCATTTCATATCCCTTTGACAACTGTGTCAACTTCTTTTTCTGAACATCCGTTCTAGAGACTTGAGTAGTCAACTTGTTCCACTAAACTATCTTTAGTTTATGTTTTTTCATAGTTCGCGCATCTCTACTAATTTTGTTTTGAATAAATGCCGTGTATTTTTTGATTTGACGTAAATAGGACATATTCGTAAATTGATGAGTTCCAGAACTTTATCCACATCTTTGGCTTCAAACCGATTTAAAGTTACCTGTGAATAATTAATTTTCATTAAAATCAACCAAAACTTTACTGAAGGTCTAAAGTAGATGATACAATGGCTTAACACTTTTTGCATGGGCTCCTTCCAGCATATTTCTGGGATCATACTTGTGGAGTCTGATCGAGTTTTAATGAGACTGTTTCGATTCTCTCGTCATTTCATATCCCTTTGACAACTGTGTCAACTTCTACAAATTTAGTTTTAAGAGGATATCACCCTGTTTCTTTTTAGCTTAAAACTTTTAACGTGGGAGTTGACCGAAGTCAAGTTTTAAACACGTTTTTAGTCATTACTAAAAAAATACCACATTTGGTGTGAACATTGGGGTAAAGTAAACGGGTGAGGTTTTTGTTATAAAACTAATTTAATCTAACAGAATTATATATATTATAACTCGATAAGGTTTAAATCTTACCATAGCTTCCATTCGCTGAACTGTGGATAATCGTTTTCCAATTCTCTCGNACCATAGCTTTCATTCGCTGAACTGTGGATAATCGTTTTCCAATTCTCTCGCGCGATCTTCTTCTGATAACCTGTTTTTTTTTATAATTGAGGTAAAGAGCCTTATCCTTAAGCTGGTGCGAAATGATTTTTTTTTTGATGATTAGCTTACTCTGTTAGTTTAAGCAGAAGGAATCCATTCATTGATTTTTGGAGGAAAATTAGAAGTTTTNATTCTTTCAACGTTATTTTTTGAGCAGCCACTTCCAACGCGAATAAAACTGTCAAATTAAAAGCCAGTACTATGAAATTTCAACCTCATAATGGTAGATCTATTGTCTAACGATCTGCATTGCAACTTTTTAATATATTCAAACAATTGCCGTATAGGAATTGCTGGAACGCGTACCAATTTTAAGTGAACAATGCTTTAGTTCCTGAATCCTCCATTTTTTTTTTCAAAACAACCCTCATGTTCGTACTTGATGCACTTATCTACTAACAGCTTAACTATGTTCTTTAAAATTTATTTCACCAAACTCATTTAATTGGAAATTAACTTAAATTAAATTTTTTATTTAATTCTCATTTAAATTATTTTCAGTTTCAATAAGCTATTTATTTAAGTGAGTAAAAAGTGGTTGTAAAACAGACTAGGCCAGCGAAAGCTTTCATATGTACTGAGAGCTTTTGAAAGCTTTGACACGCTGTGTTGTAAAAGCAGGGCTGGTATACAAGTAAGCAGCAGATACACAATGATCAGGTGATTAAACGTGTAACACCTCTGAGCGTGGTTATTAGGAATGTTAATCCCGGGATCCCGGGATCCGGGACTTTTTAAGGTCTCGAAAATGGCAAGTAATCCCGGGATTTTCGGGGTTTGTAATTTGCACTGATGGAATAGAAACTTCTTTTCTTGACCAGTATTGGCAAAATTTTTTTTTTTATTTAATAATTAATATTTTTTTTTAAATTTCTAGCTCATATAACATAAATTTTAAACACAAATACAGTCGTGTCTGGATATAGTGAACTAATTTTTGCATGACCTGTTCACAGCATCCAGGTTGTTCACCATATTAAGGTTGACTTATTTTGTTCAAAAACTTGTTTTGTTTGCTCAAAATTCATGTTTGTGTATGTAAGTGCAACAGATCTTTGGAATAAATGTATACTTAGGAAAATATAAATGGACATATGAATGTTTATTAAAAGAATTCGCGAATAGATGTTTGCTTCATGCATGAGGAAATTGACTTTTGGGCCGCTTTTCACGTAGAGTTCTCAATACTATTATGCCAGCGCAGTCAGTTTTTAATAGCTTCAGTGGCTTTTATAGGACTTCCGATCTGTCCTTCGCCTTGGTCATCATCACCAGCCTCTGCAGTATCCTCGGCATCTTTCTCTAATTGGTTCGTCGTCTTCGATTGTATTCCAAGTTTAGATATCATTTTCAGTGTAGGTTTCCTAAGACAATTTAAGTACATAAAAACGAAATGGGCAGGTGAATGTCAATAGGGTCAATAAAATTACCTTCGGTATTACAACTTGCAGCAGACCCGGTATATCATCGATTTCTTTATATTTTTCCTGCAATATTTTTTGGCGAAGTAAGCTCAGAGGAACATCATCGTCTTCATCCTCGCTTTCATTTGGCTCTGTGGCATTGAAACATTCTAATAAAGGCTTCCAACATTTCGCTGTTACACGTGCCTTCAGCTGATTCCAAACAAACATTAAAAATGATACAGCATCTTCAAAAGTTAAAGTTTTTAAAAATTGTGTGATGTCATCTTTTCCTACAGCTAATAACAGCAGATGTTTTTTGTAGTACAGCTTAGTTAAGCGAATCACATTTTGATCCATATGCTGAATAAAAGGCGTTAAATTTGGAGGCTTATAAACCACGAATATTGAGCCATCAGCAATTTTAAGTTCATCTTCTGGCGGATGGCTAGGGGCGTTATCAAGCAATAGGATAGCTTTGGTTGGTAAACCCTTTTGTAGCAAATAATTTTGAACCTAATAACAATTAAAAACGAAAAAATACTCGGTAAAACTGTTAGGAATTTTAAATGTATTACTCATGAACGCGAGGGACGAAGCAATGGTGTCACCATTCTATGAAGATGTCTGCAGTTACACCATAAATTTCCGATTTTTTCAACAATTTCAGATTTTTGCTTCAACGAAAGGAATTTCCTCGCAGACATGATAACACTTAAAAATTATTTAAATGCTAAATTTATTAGCACACAAAAAAATAAAAAAAAAACACGTAAAACAGCGCACATTCACTCACAAGCGGTTGGAACTCGACAAGAACCAAATAAACATTAGCATCAAATAGTAGCAGCTTTTCTAGTAATAAACATAAAGTGATAAATTTCAGGGAATAACCGCTTTCATTTCCGGTTAAATTTGGTATTTTTTTGTCAATTTATGCTTGCCGTTGCTTTTAAAATTTTGTTCACTATTTAGAGGTTTTCGATTGTTCACTATTTAGAGTACTCTGTGTAAATATTTTGGTGTTCACTATATCGAGGAGTTCACTATAGCGGGCGTTCGCTATATAGAGACACGACTGTATCAATATATTCGCGAAACCATGGGCCAAATATAGTAAAATTGCGTTTTTAGTTTTTCACTCTGACGTCAGTAATTTAAAAATGATTTAAAAAATTCAGAGAAATGTGCTTAGAGAAGAAGTATGGGTACAAAATTAATGAGGAAATCCTATAGAATTAAAACAGATTCAAGTTTCTAGTGCAGAAGGGCTTGTAAGTATTGAAAATGTCATTTAAAAAGTTTATCCTTCAAATTTCGCAATATTTGTTTTTGAAAAATATTATACAGGGTGTCCCAGAAGTAACCTGCTAAACTTGAGGAGAAGGCAAGTGGGGTGGTGAGCTCCCTGAGCATTTTTTTTATGTAATGTCAAAGTTGGGGAACAAAATATCAAAAAGTTAAAAATCCCAAAATAGTCCTCATTTTATAATGGTTCCTTAATATATTTTTACTACATTGCATTTGAATATGGAGAAGAAACTATCTGGAAGTATTTTACATAAACAATTTACTAAGTATAGCCTGGTTTGTAGATGCAGTTAAAGAATATACATGAAAAGGCACGATTTTTTTTTAAATTCAAAAAAATTTAAATATTCCAAAAACGGTGACACTTTTACCTGAAAAGTTTTTGTTTATCAGGGAGCTCACCCCCCCACCTACCTTCCCCTAAAGTTGGCAGGTTACTTCTGTGACACCCTGTATGTTAAGAGCTTATATAAACTCGATATCATCCTCGAATTTCGTTCTTCTAACTTTATCATAAAAATTACCTATTCGTCCTTGTGAATCCAAAAAATTTAATTTTTTTAAATTCTAAAGAAATTTCCTATTGCATTTGTTACCCATATTTTTATTCTACATTGCATTGAATTTATTTTATTATTTTTTAGAATTAATCATTTCTTTGAAATTACAAAGTCCTTCAAAATAAATCCTGCGGTCAAAGAGAAAAAATAAAAACAACTTTAAATAAAAATTGGGTTTCAAACCCATTTATTTATTATTTACTAGCCAATGCCCGCTTGCTTCGCGGCTCCTAATAAGAACTTTTGCGTTGGCCAATGGCAAAGGAGCGTTTAAGAGCAAAAATAGTCTTTAAAGTCAAAATTTTTAGTTTAAGTTGAAACCACTAAAGCGCATTATCCTCCTCATACATAGGCCAAGAATAGTTACGCTGTGATGCCATATCGATGGCTGAGTGGAAGATCAACCTATCTCGGCAGCCAGTTCAAAAACACCCAGATAGGGTGCTTTTCAATAAAATTCTGAATTAGGGCGTCGCTGAAAACTTTTCTGACATAGGGTGTTTTCGAACTGGCTGCCGAGATAGGTCGATCTTCCACCCAGCTATAGATATGGAATACTTATCCCTTTCGATGTCATGAGCTTTGCCGATGGTCTTATTTCCACCTGTGAGATCTCTGCTAAGCATGTGTAATATTTTTCTATGATCTGAACCAATAAAAGTCGTTAAGAGGAAACTCAAGAGCCCAGATGTGCGTTTTCTGTTGTAGGGGGGCCAATAATCCTCGCTGTCCCACAGGATGAAAAGTTTTCCCGTACATTAGCTAAATTAGTCGTATGATCTCTTGAATATCGTTCAAATGAAGCAATTGATATACCTACGATGATCTTTCCTTGTTGGTTCGCCACTTTTACAATTCGTGTTAAATTTATGAACTGATTTCTAGGTAGATGCAAGATCGCATTTAGGGTGCATGATGGAGTCAGACAAAGGTGCGCTTACACAATTTTGTGGTCTTTCCATGCATAGCTAACCCTATCCTTCATTTAGCAATCTGAAACTAAATTCGTATAACTTAAACATAGGGCCAAAGCAGACTAACCACATGGGGTTTCTATACATTTCGGCTGCAGCGCCATCCATTGGGTCCATTTTCTGCAAAACCATTGCTTACTATAAAATGAATTTTAACCTCGACTCCAGCGGGTCTAAAGAATTTTTCATCATACATGTACATTAGGGCATGTCAATTTTTATGGACTGACTTTTTCGACATTGTTCCTAGCATATTCGGATTCTTCATAAAATTCTAAGAAAAAAATTCCTCCAGACCATAGCTCTAAAGTCAATTTCGAGCCTGCGCATTTTTAAAAGAAGATATCTTATATATAAAAATGAATTGCTGTCCGTTAGCCTCGCTAAGACTCGAAAACGGCTTGACCGATTCGAATATTTTTATTTTTTTGGTTTGTTTTTTATAATATCCGGATGGTTAAAAGGAGAACAAAATAGAGAGTTGCCACCTGTTTAAAAATTTCAGTAAAAGTAAATTAATGACATAAATTAGATATTGCAATATGGGTGTCAAATGAAAGAGGTTATGAAGGCTTACAGGCGAAAATATTTTTGAGGGGGGTTGCCACCTGTTTCAAAATTTAGTTAAATAAAATTGATAAGATAAATTAAATATTGCAATATGGGTATCAAATTAAAAGGGTTTAAGAAGGCTTACTACTGAAAATATTTTTGAGTCGAGTTGCCACCAATTTCGAAAATTTAATTCAATTAAGTTAATAAGATAAAGTATGTATTATAATATAGGTGTCGAGCGAAAAGTATTTGAAAAATTATTGATTAAGAAATATTTTCTATAGGCCTGCCACCTACCTGAGCGGTAAAAACTAAAAGCCATACTCGCAAATATTGTTCAAAACTTTTGAGGCTCGCATCAATGTGGAATACTGTAACTCCGTCAAGATAGTGTTTATTGATGGCAAACAAAGTACTATCATGTTTGGCAATGATATCACCCCATCGAACAATGCACTCAGCCTCGATATAAAAAGAGAACAAAAGCCGAAGTATTAGCCGAAGCAGTTCATACAAATGTTCCACAATTGAACTAACAAAAAAATATGGCCTACGAATCTTTTATAGAAGCTGTGGACACTGGAGTAAAATTTAAACAAAAAAACAAAACCGACTTCAATTCTCATATACAAATTTAAAAGTACCGTTATTTTCTTCATGGCCCAATTATCGGATCTACACTCAATTAGTAGGAGACTACCTCTGAGGAACCACCTTTCCTTTCAAAAAGAATTATAGAAAACGGATAACGTAGTCCAAAGTTACGCGGTAACATACATAAAAACATATTCCGACGAATTGATAAAATATGCAGATTAATATTTAATAAAGTGTTACGGATATATTTTTTTTAATACAAACCTGTGCTTGGGAGCTTATTGATACGAAAAATTAATTTCTGATATCTATTTTTTATTTAAAGAACCGCAAGATTGCACTACAAAGCAAATTACATATTTTTTACTATTGTAACGGGAGAAGTTACTGTATGTATTTTTTTATATGTAAGTGTCGAACAAACGTTTTGGCACAGTATATACAAAGTTCTTAATTTATTTCCGATAATTTTTTATAAAAACATAGTTCATACTATACCAAAACACATACAAATCAAATGTGTAAACTTTGTGCAAAACTCAGGAAAATCCAATAAATCTGCATACTAATTTGCAATTTTATATTCAGATTTTCAAGCAACTTCAAACTTGCACTTTGATAAACTAAAACTGAATGGATTACTAAACTGCATACTTGGAATTGTTCTAAAAAATACTTTGCCTCTATTGCGTAAAATTCACTGTGCCAATACTTTTGTTCGTTACTGTAAGTAAATGAGACTTTAACTTTTAAAAACCAAAAAAAAAATATTTACAATATTTCAAGATTATTTTTCGAATCATAAATTTTGTTATGATTAACAATGTATTTATATTTTTTTTTGGTTTTAGATCCTTTTTGCTTTCAACACGAGGTATATTTTTTCTACTTTCTATTGTCATAGCCATAACTCCCTCTCTATTTTTATCAAACAATCAATCAATTTTAGAATTTTTTTTCGGCATTTTTCCTAAATACGAGTAGAGCTTTATAAAACTTGTATAACACCAAATGTTTATCAAGCTTAGGATTTTGTGTTATCCGGGCAGGCTTATTAATTTAACCAGAGAATATGTTTTCTTTATTAAGTTTACCCAGTTCCCCATTTTAAACTGCTGCCTGTACTGTATCAGCGGTTAAAACTTGTTAAATTTTTATTTAAAATATTCGGTAAGGAATAAGCGAGTGGATGAAAAATATATAACGGTAAGAACGGCCCATATATATGTATATGAAAGAATACACACATGCGACGTCTCTAGCCATTGTGTGTCACTCCTTTAAATTATAGTTATTTTTTTCTTATTGTATTAAAAAAATAACGTTCGTAACACTTTAGTAAATATTAATATAATTCCGAAGTTAGAGCTGATTTAAAATTTTCATTATGGAAGGTATCCCCCATCCCCCTCCCCCCTTGGCGAGTTCTAATTTTTTTACCCTATTATAGGTCCAGGAGTCATAGCAATACTTTGGCAAAATTTTATTCAATTCTGTCAATCCGTTTAGGCTGCAACCT